AGGGGAAGACACGGGATTGCAGCCGAACGATCGTCGGACGCGGACGATTGGAGAGAGGCGCGATCGGTAGATGAGGAGCGGCGCTCGGTGTAGGCGCAAACTAGGGCAATCACCAGAGAGAAGGGCCGTGATCGAGCCGAGCGGGAGAGGCTTTCTTTGATGGCTCTGATACCATGTGAATTTTTGAATAAACCTTTTCTCACTGAATACATAGATAATTCACCTATAAATAGGTGAGTACAAGAGAAACAAAAGAAGGAAAGAAATCTTCCTACAATAAAGTAATTCCTATAATTATTGAATAACATAAATATCAATAATTAAGGAATTATACTATGACTAAATATAGCAAGTACTAAATAGAATTAAAGTAAATAATAATAATAAGGAGCGTAATTTCACAGAAACTTTGACCGTTTTAATGCTTCTTGCAATGATAAACTATGGTGTGCTTTTGAGTTCTACATCTAGTTAAATCTTTCAATCATACCTTTTATTTAGTAACGCAATTCTATTTTGTTATTGGGGCATACATTTGATTTAGTAACGGAAATCTATTTCATTATTGGGGCATTTACATTTATAGCATTTACATTCATTTATAGCACACAATTCTTATGTATTTACATATCTCACATCTAAACTTTCATATTTACGCACATAGCACTTGAATCTTTAATATCTCATGAAAAATAGCAATATTACCACTTTTTAAAAGTGAATTACATATTTTCATGCATAGGTTTAAAGCAACAAAGTGTTATGTATGTAAGCATTAACGTTTGGGTTTGAGATATGTATTTACACAAGAATTGTATGCTATTTATGTAAATTTCACTATATTTTTAATCTTCAGGGCTGCATATCTGTGAGCATGACATTGCATCAGACTAGTTTATGTTTCATCTGTAGTCACTTGGCATCGGGAGAAAGAGAAGGGGACGAGCTGAGGAGAAACTCTGATGTCAATGAGATACTAAAGAATACACGATTTCGGAAGATTTACAGCAAGCGGTGCCGAAGAACGCCGTTGAAAATACTTCAACATGAGTGAGTACTGTTTTTCTTGTACGATCTGCAATTAGTTATTATAACCTTATGTTTAACTATAATTACTCGCTCTCTTCGCTGTATTTTGCCAGCCGGATCATTTGGTTTGGTGATTTGAACTATCGAATTGCGTTGAATTACTTGGAAACTAAGAAATTGCTTGAGAATAATGATTGGAATGCACTTCTAGAGAAAGATCAGGTAATTCATCAGTTGCAAAGTTACTCGGATAAATTTTTGAAAGATTTACATACAAAACAAACACTCAATTCTTATGTATTTACATATCGAACACCTACTCTACAATTTTAAAATATCTGCCACCTTACCTATGCATGGAAAAGTGTTTTACACTTTTTAAAAGTTTAAATATTGGTATTTTCAAATGTGATATGAAAGATTTGGGTGGTATATGTAAAAGATTTTCAAATGTGATATGAAAGATTTGGGTGGTATACGTAATAGGTAAAGCTTAGGTTTTTGATATGTAAATACATAAGAATTGGGTGTTATGTTATGTATGCAAAGTGGGCTCATCATAAAATCTGCATCGTTTTGTTGTAGCTCAAGATAGAAAGAGATGCTGGAAGGGTGTTCGAGGGATGGAATGAAGGGAAAATTTATTTCGCTCCTACATACAAGTATTCCTACAACTCAGATTCTTATGCTGGTGATGGTGTCCAATCCAACACAAAAAGAAGAACTCCTGCATGGTAATGTTATGTTCTTTTTTCAACTGGTTTACTTAACTCAAATCTTTTTTTCTTTATAAGAAATAATTGTTTCCCCTTTACGCCACTTATTTTATTATTTTTCTTATTTATTTCTTTTTGGTTTAAGATGCACCTAATCCAAAATTTTATAAGAGATTAAATTGCCAATGTAGTCTCCTGACTATTTACATGAGCTCATTTTATCTCAGTCTATAAAAGTGTCAAATTAGTCCCCCCACACTCTCTTAATATCTCTAATATTTTAGCTTCTATTAAAAGAGTCTCCGAATTAAATTGGCATTTTTATAAACTTTGAAATTAAAATGGCCCCTGCAAAGAGCAAGGAGACCATTTTGACATTTTCCTCTTTCATAAAATATCCATTTTTTAATATAGAGAATCTAAAACTATGCATGCTGATAATTCCAAATTTCTGGTGCATCTTAATGATTTTTTCAGGTGCGACCGCATACTTTGGCACGGCGACGGGATCATTCAGTTGTCATACATTCGTGGCGAATCCAGATTTTCTGACCATCGACCAGTGTGTGCAATTTTTAAGGTGGAGGTTGGAGTTCTTAATGATGGAATAAGGAAGAGCTTTTCTGTTCCCAACATGAGAGTTGGAGTGGAGGAGCTTTTACCTGCAAACAATAACAGCAGGACTGCCAAAGAAAGGTAAGGTGG